ATTTTAGTGAGATAACAAACAATGAGCTTCGGAGGTGCGACCTTGACTTCATCAAAGAGAGAAGAGATGACTCCCAGTTGAAGCTCGGCATATATCAAAGGAAGATGACGAAGTACTTCAACTCAAAGGTAAAGAAGAGATCATTCCGAGTCAATGACTTGGTCCTTAGAAGAGTCTTCCTCTCCTCAAAGGAACCTGGTTCCAGTTCCCTGGGTCCGAACTGGGAAGGACCATATAAAATCAGAGAAGAGATCCAACTTGGGACTTTCTGGATTGAAGACACGAACGGCATGGCCCAACCCCGTCCATGGAATATCGAGCACCTTAGAATCTATTACCAATAAATGTACTGCCTCGCTGGACGATCTTTCCCAGCTCTTGTAGCATTTCTATGGTTCAATAAAATCTTATGATTAAACTAACGTGTTGCATTACTTCCTCACCTCGGAGGAGAGGCCAGCGTCCCATCTTTAGGCCACCTTGCCTGAACTCCGAGGCGCATTCACATGCCTCCCTTTGGCGAGGCGAACGCTAGGGAGAGAAGCCTCAACATGGCTGCACCATCCACCATGTTGGGAAGCGTCGCTACCTCAGAAGAGAGGCCAGCGCCCCATCTTTGGGCCACCTCGCTTGAATTTTGAGGCGCATGCACATGCCTCCTTTTGGCGAGGCTGAAATCTAAGGGGAGAAGCCTCAACATGGCTATACCATCCACCATGTTGGGAAGCGTCGTCATCTCGGAGGAGAGGCCAGCTCTGGGCTACCTCGCTTGAACTTCGAGGCGCATGAACATGCCATCCTTTGGTGAGGCTAAACATCAGGAGGAGAAGTCTCAACATGGCTGCACCATCCACCATGTTGGGAAGCGTCATGACCTCGGAAGAGAAGCCAGCGCCCCATCCCTGGGCCACCTCGCTTGAATTTCGAGGCGCATGCACATACCTCCCTTTGGCGAGGCTGAACGCCAAGGAGAGAAGCCTTAACATGGCTGCACCATCCACCATATTGAGAAGCGTTGTCACCTCGGAGGTGAGGCCAGCATCCCATCTCTGGCCACCTCGCTTGAACTCCGAGGCGCATGAACATGCTTCCCTTTGGGGAGGCTGAACACCAAGGAGAGAAGTCTCAACATGGCTGTACTACCATGTTGGGAAGTGTCGTCACCTCAGAGGAGAGGCCAACATCCCATTTCTAGGCCACCTCACCTGAACTCCGAGGCTCATACACTTAGGATCCCAGTTCGGGTAATATTCCCTGTTCGGCTGCAACAGGGTTCATTCTTAGGATCCCTTCAGGTTACATTTATTAAACTTAAGTACAATTCATTTGCTTAAGTCCAATATTGGTCATAACTCATGAGGCTTGCATACAATTTATTTGTTCAAGTGATTGGAGTTAGGATACCCAGTTAAAGTTATTTAGTTCTTCAATCAACATTACGTTCAATTACTTAACGAGGCCAACAGACTTAAGAGAAAGAAACAACATTGAATGAAAAAGAGATTATTTTGATTTTCGACTGATATTACAAAAGGGGGGCCTGAGGCCAGTACATCATGCATAACTGAAAAGAAAACTATCCTAAGTCTGGGAAGATGATGGAGGTGCCTCAGCAGCTGGGACTTTCACATCTTGAGCATCAAAATTTGCTTCTTCTGCCTCTGCTACTTCATATCCCACCACTTCATCAGCTGGGGTTTGTCGTCCACAAACTCTGACTTGAGTTGAGACAGATCCTGATTAGGATACAACTCCTCAGCCCACTCTATCACTTCAGCATAAGCAAAGTTCCTCCAGTAAGTGCTGAAGCTCTTGTACTCCTCGGTATTGTGGAAGTTGGCAATGTAGTCTCTCACTACCTCCTCCTTTGTATTTTGGGATTCCTCCCTAGCATGGGTCGCATCATCGACGTACCACTTAATTTGGCCCTCGATGAACTTGTATGCATCTTTGGCCCCTGCCAGTTCCCTGTTCGCCTTCTCCAAGGTTTCGGCTGTCACCTTCTGGTAATCATTGGAAACCTCCACCTTTTTAGTCAAGGAGGCTACCTTGCACTGGGACTCATAAACTTCCTTCTTCAATGCCTCTATCTAAGCCAAGGCAGACTCCAACTTGGTAGATTCTTCAAGTTTTTGGGCCCTAGCTTCCTCAGTCTCGGCCCTAGCTGCCTTCAGTTCTTCTACAAGGGAGGTCGTCTTCCTCTCTGAGGTAGCGGTCGTCGTCTGAAAGTCAGTGAGGGCCTCCCTGCATTCCAGTGAGAGGCCAAAAGTCCTAACGCTTTGGCTCATAAGAGCCCTCGTCAAGTCTATGGCATCACAGGCGGAGGCGTGCAGCTGCCACCGATCCGTCCATAATTTATAAAAACTTTTAGTAGTGCCTCGGATCTCAGGTGGCAGGGCCTCTACCAAAGCTGGGGCCAGAGGCTCCTCCCTACCGACAAGGAAGCTCGGAGACTTCTCTTGCACTCGTACAGGCTTCTGTTTGGTAGTTTCCTCCTCGGCCACCTCAGCTTGCCTCCTCGCAGCCTCCTCCCTTGCCTCTTCAGCCTCCGCACGCCTAACCATTTCAATCTTAACCGCTTTCAAGGCGGCTTCTAGTAGCTTGGGCTACCCGGCTTCTTTGCCTTCATGGGACACAAAAGTCCCAAATTTGCCAGACGAGCTGGAGATGTGCACCAGCTTCCTCTTCTTCAGCTCCTTAGGGACTTTCTCTTTTCCCCAAGGCTCCTTAGACTTTTCTGGCCTCAGGGGGTCCCCTCTTTGAAAGCTCACGATGTGCTATCCTAGGAGAGATGCTCCACTCTACCTCGGACCTTCTTGGCACCAATTGACCCCGGCTTCAGGGACTCGCCTTCACAGTAGAGATTGCCTTAAGTATGGACGCCATGTCAGGAGCTGGGTACTCTTTCCTCTTAAACTTGTCTACAGAACACAGCGCGTCAGTATCAAAATGAAAACACAAAAATATAAAAGTGTGGAAGCTTCGTACCCTTGGAGGCCATTAGCTCAAAATTGAGGAAATAGCGACTTCTATCGATGAGGTGATTGAAGTGGTGAAGTTTCAGAGGTCTCTTGTAAATGTCCTCTATCACCTCAAACTCCTCATTGCTCAGCTCGAACCTCGTACTACTATCTGTAAAGGATGCTTCAGCATTAGAAAAATAAATTTTTTAATACAAATTACAAACTTGGGTTGGGAGACTCATGAGCTTCGTAGTACTGGGTCGGTACTGTGTAAGCCAGGGCTTTGTCCCTCTCCACTGCCTGCCACCTGCCTCGCACCCAAAACCACGATTCCTTCCACCCCTTGATGGAAGAAGGCAGTCCCACCACAAATGGTGCGTGAGCCCCCCAAAGACATAGGTAATACCACCCCTCCGACTCCTTCCCTATTACCCTAGGCTGGAACAGGGTCATGAAGACGTGGAGAGACATGTCCTCCCCAAGTGATACTTCCTTCCACAGGAAGTACGAGCCGAGCAACTGGCTCCACCCGTTTGGCAAAACCTGGGTCGACGACAGCATGAAGTTCCTCAGCATCGCCCTAAAGAAGGGGTGCAGAGGAAGACGCATACCGGCCTTAAACAGGTATTTACTCACCACCACACAGCTGGGCCTTAGATAACAGGCCCGCTCATGGGCTTCGGGAACTAACATTTCCACATAGTGAGGCACACAATACCTCTCCCTAATCTCCCCCAGCCTCTTCCCTATCATATTTGAAGGCACCCTAGACGCCCCCACTCTTCGCTATAGTCTACTAGCTCCTCGGTCATAGCATACCTATCCACCTCGGAATCCCCCCTATGACTGACCCCATGGCCCAATGACGCTATTGTGACCAACTCCCTACCTGAAGTGGACTCCATCTCAGAAATGACTAAGAACGCAGTAAAAGGAGAATTTTCTGTGAAAAATACCTACTGAAAACTACGTGAACAGAATGTGCCAGAAAAACAGTGAACGGACAGCCTCAATGCCGGAATGTTTAAGTTCTAAGGGAGGAAATCAGATTGCAAGTGCTAGAAAATCCAGAAAAAGGAAGTTCTCTTACTTTTTATAAAGGGCCAGGACGAACCCCCACCGTCAGATCGAAGCTCGTTCAATCTGAACCGTTCATTTTAAATCAAATCCGAGGCATAGAATTCAAACAGTTTTTCAAACCTACGCCTTAGATTTAAGCGTGTTTCCCACACACCTCAGACAACACGTCTGCTTCTAGAAGCTCCAATTGTTCTAATAATTACGATTTTAATTCGACGGCAGCAGGTGCCTTGGAAGTTGCAACGATTCAGCCACCTTTCCTTGAAAACATGCACAAAACATCAAATCATTGGCACAACTAGGAACAATTATTGTCAACCACCACGTCTTCATCTTCAACATTCAGCCATCAAGCCTCGCAGGTTCGGTTTCTCAATCACCTCGGCTTCATCTTCAACATTTAGCCATCAAGTCTTGGAGGTTCGATTTCCCAACCACCTTGACTTCATCTTCAACATTAGTCATCAAGCCTCGCAGGTTCGATTTCCCAACCCCCAACCACCTTGGCTTCATCTTCAACATTCAACCATCAAGCCTCGCAGGTTCAGTTTTCCAACAACCTCGGCTTCATCTTTAACATTCAGCCATCGAGCCTCGCAGGTTCGGTTTCCCAACCACCTCGGCTCATCTTCATCTTTCAGTTCTCGCAAGCCTCGCACATTCAATTCATGCTACCACCTGGGCTTCTTCATCATTCACCCGCAACAACACATTTCTAACTCCAACCATGATATAAATATCTATACTTGGACTTGGGGGGTTATTATTTATAGTTCAAAAATTCTTTCAATTTTTACCCAATCCACTGGCTTTACTTCATTAAAGTCCATGCATTACATAAATGACTATACTTGGACTTAGGGGACTATTGTTACGTGTTGTCATACTTGGCCAACCTACTTGGGCCTATGGCCCACTCAATTTGAACCACGTGGCGCTCTAGCCAAGGTGTCATGTATGGCCGAGGCCCTTCATGTCGAGGGTCATATGCCAAGGCCTATGAAGATAGCCGAAGCCCTAAAGCGGAAGCACTACGTGAGTGGCAGAAGCCCCGAATCTGAAGCCGAACCAGAAGCCTCTGAACCATGAAGGAACGTCTTCCATGATCACTTCTCCCAAGAGATTTTCTACATAAAGATCTGGTTAGAATGATTGATGGAACCTTTGTTATAAGTGTACATGTCAAGTCTTGTCATAGCATGAGGGTTCTGCATAAGCAATAAATGTGCAGCAAGCTAGCAAGTCAAGGATGATGACTAGGATTGGATGTTTGGATTAAAGAGATGAGGCCACGTGCCACCTCATCTAAGGGCTGTCATTTCACGTGTAACACTATAAATACTTCCCTTGTATAACATTGAAGGGCTAATGTAAGAATCAATACAAGAAACCACACTTTATTCTCTCTTTCATAATATCTTGCAACACAATACGAGTTCATACATATTTACATGCACATTCCTGAGCACCGATTGGTAATTATTGTACAATCGGATTACGAACATCCCGTCGGATTCCGAACGTTCTTGTCCCGCGTCGTTGAGCTACTCCCACACCCTTGATCCATTCGTTCTAGACCGTCCACTTGTCTTAGCGTGTAGGACCTTCGCTCACGTGTGCACGGGTGGGTTCGGCATCTGTTGACAATGTTTTTTGGGGTCAACAATCTTAACCGACCGCTTCTTCAACGTTAAGGGACGTTTTTATTGATGAACAACCCGTAATTTCTCCTACTCCCATATATATAAGTATTCCTTTTCATTTGGATAAGTTGATGAAGTTGTGTTTTTTAGTTTTATTTGGTTCCTACTGCTTTATGAATAAAGTCTTGTTCCTAACTGACTAAAACTTGGGAATATGAGTCCGTTCAATATTTTTACCTGAATTTATTCGGCTGCACGGGACTATTTGATAATTTGTATTTTTTTGGTAATGCAAATTTTACGGGATGAATAAATATTATATATTCTATGGGACTTCAATTGGATGGAAATTTCTATATTAATACATCTTTGAATACCTACTTACATTATTTTCTCCCTTTTCTCTAACTCTTCCTGAACATTAGCTCAATCGTTCAAAAGTTTTTAGATCCGGCACTACATATAAAGAACTAGTCAATTATTAAATTGCCCCAGAGTGAGGATCTTGAAAGATAATTCAGTTGTTGTACTTGTTGACACACAAAAGTTCAGCCCGAATCGAATAGTCCAAACGATGAAGCCCAATTGGAGGATCCCCAAATCAGATAGCCCAAAGAACGGCCCAATCAGACAATGCAGGATAAATGCCCAAATAGGGAAGCCCATGAACGCGGTAATACCATCGTCCAAGGTTACAAGTCGCCCAAGATTTGAGTGAATGGATTGCCATGCAGTCGCCCAGAACTGTGACCCTGTTCTCGTCCAAACCTTCGAGTCGCCCAGGATCTTAGCAAACATAAGATGCTATGGTTACCCAAAGGTGCAGTTAATGAAGCAGTTATTGAGTAGCCCTATTACGTTCCACGATTCAAGGAATTCAATTGAAGACGGTTGAATGACAAAAGTAATGGTAGCAGTTAGAGAAGGTAGTTCCATGACAAGTTGGCCACTATGAAGAAAGTGGGCAGTTATAAAGCGATCAAGCAGTTTTTAAGCGGTTGATCACGAAGAGATCATCCAGGAAGTATAAAAGGAAGAAAAGACATGGAGCAAAGGACCCCGAATCAAACACTCTCAAATAAAGAATATGTAACTTTCAATTTCTTAGTTTAGATTTAAATACTTCTTTTTAGTAACTCGTGTGCTTGTACCCCTTGGAGGTATATTCCCTTACACAATCGTCTTATCCTTTTTTAATTGTCAGCGACTAACCCGCGAGAAACAATTTGGCACGCCCAGTGAGATAGTGGTGTTTGGTGTTGAAGATACAAAAGGTGAAATAATATACCTCAGAGATCCGATAAGGAGGCAGCAAGTCAGGGAGGAGTCCAGTCTGTGATCGAGCGATATGAGGAGCAGCATAGCTCTCCATGAACAGATGGATAGAATCAGAGCAGTAACAGTCATTATGAATCAATGACAAATTTGAGTCCTCGAACTATGCCTGCACTACTTAGAGAACTCACGCAAGATGTCGTTGAACAGGTAAATCTTCGAAATATTTATAATATGGAAAGATTTACCCAGAATGGAAATGCACATTATGACAACATGACCAAATAACTGAATACTTTGAACGAAATAATGAATAAGTTAGTAGTCCAAATTTGTCAACCAGTTATGCCTCTTGCAAACCACTTTCAAACTAGGACAATTGTGGGACATAGTCTCCCAGTCCTAAATCCAAGTCAAGGGTAGAACCACCTTTCGGTCCCTCTACTTCAAACCAAGGGGATGGTGTAATGCCAAATCAGAATAATGGTAGTGGTACGCCTAACTTGGGGGGTAATCCAAATGTAAGAGATAATGTCCTAAATAATGGGCAGAATACCCCACGTGTTAATGAGGGAATAAATGTTCAGGCTAATGGTAACAATGGCCCAAATCATGGTAACTTTGTTGTCAATCAGGGACCAAACATCAAGCCTCAAACAAATCAACCGGTTAACCAACCTGTAGAAATTTCATATGACCCCAAAGTCATGCTGAGGAATCAAATTATGGAAATCGTACAGGATCAGATGGCTCTTGGGGTACATTCTGTCATTAGGCCGACTTACACAAAGTCATATCCTGATTGGGTAGATCAAGCATATCCATGGCCTAGAGGGTATAAAGTGCCAGAATTCTCACTGTTTACCGGTTTAGAAGAGGTGTCTACTCTAGAACACATAGGGCGATTCACACTGCAAAGTGGAGACGTAACTGATTACCATAAAATGAGGCTTTTCCCTAGTTCATTAATAGGAGTAGCTTTCTCCTGATTCATCAATTTGCCAGCGAACTCTGTTCAAACATGGCAACAATTGGAACAATTATTCCACGCTCAGTTTTATAAGATTGAGTCTGAAGTTACTTTAATAGATTTGGCGAATCTACGTCAAATGCCAAACGAATGGGCAGAAGGTTTCCTCCAAAGGTTCAAGACAGCAAGAAGTAAATATTTTGTACCTTTGCCCGAAAAAGAGTTTGTTAAAATCGCTCAAGGTTGTTTGAACTTTGATTTGAAAAAGAAATTCCAAGGCAAGGAATTTCCTGACCTTTTTCAATTGAGCGCGAACGTGATTAGGTATGAACGATTAATAAGAGAAGAAGAGCAGATAAAAATTTTTAGCAAGGGGACTTATTATAGAGACCCAAATTTTGATCTTCATACCATCAATAATGAGTCATACAATCAGACCGAAATGTGTTTGGCCGAATTAGTCAAAGGAGACACGTATACTTGTCCTATAATGGCTAAGCCTAGACCATCGGGTAAGGATGAACCTATGAAAGATGAAAACATAAAAGCTAGAACGTTCTCATTCGATGTAACCAAAGCTGACCTTATATTTGATAAATTATATAAGGATAACCAGATAAAGTTGAGCGATAAGCATAAATTATCAAGCCCTGAACAAATTAAGGGTAAAAAATATTGTAAGTGGCATAATGCATGGTCACATTTGACTAACAATTGCTTGGTTTTTCGCCATGTGTTACAGGATGCCATTGAATCAGGACGAATTACGTTCGATGATAAGAAGAAGATGGCAGTGGATGAAAATCCTTTTCCACAGGCACTTAGAGTGAATATGGTGACGTCTGGTTTCAAAAACAAGTTGCCAAAATTCAAGTTGGTTATAGATGATAGAGAAGAAGACCTTGGACCACATCCTAGTGTCTTTAAGCGTATTAAAGGGAAGGAGCCAAAAAAGGAAAAAGACGTCTTGTGTGCAAGATGTAAAAGAGAAGTGAGTGGGAATACGGAGAAACCAGGGATATGGCAGCATCCCCATCGCCCTACTTTCTTCCCAAACGCTCAGCCTGGTAGATGGCGAGGTACATCGTTCTATAAGGGACCGCCTTTTGAGAGGCAGTTCAGGCCAGTAAATAATGGGAGAACATTCAGGCCGCAACCTCGCCAACCATATGTATGGAATTCGTTCCAGTATAATGCAGGAAAGGCGATACTCTTTAACGAGATGACTAGGACCCAACAAAAGCGTGTCCAACGAAATTATGGACGACTGATGAGGCAACAACAGGGAGTGCCACATCCTAAGGCACCTAAACTACTCGAGGTAGCGAATCAAAATGTTCTCAAAGACAGTGAAGAGACTGGTACAGATGACTCAATGAAAGAGTTGCCAGAAACTTCTTCTGGGAGATCGAAGTTTGAGAGAAACAGAAGGGATGGAGAAGATCCAGATCAGCCCCTTACTATTCAGTTCGGTACGTTACCTCCTAGCGTGGCTAATAACTATTTACTAGCCAATGAGTTCAAGAATAAAGAGAAAGAAGAAGAAGAAAGAGAGGATAACGAAGGAGAAGCATGTGTGCTGGAATATGAAGAAGGCCAGACTTCTAGAGAGGCCTACAATGGTGAGGAAGATGATGGTATGACAGACATTTAAGAGGAAATCGACTTGGAAGCAGAAAGAAGAAGAAAAGGAGTATCGTACAATACTCTATTGAAGCAACTACATCGAGAGGGAGTTCGTGAAGTAGACTTATTGGGAGAACCATCTGGGCGTTCTTTCAATTTTTACGTGCTGTATGGGACGCCCAAAAGGAAGAAGAGAGTGCCTCACTCTGAAAAGTATGGATCAACTCCAAGAATAATGCCTCCTCCCACAAGTTGGATAACTGAAGATGAAGCATCAAAAAAATGGTAAAAAGGAAATTCAGGAGACAGAGGCTCAGTGCGATATGCTGCACGTTGACTTATCACAAAAAGATAACTCGACAGAGGACAAACAGGAAGTGAAATTAGAGGCTACCAAAAAGGTTATTTTTAAGTGGCCAGCCATGAAATTGACTAAACACTTGAGGCCGTTGTACGTTAAAGCTCTAGTTAACGGCATACCTGTGGCAAAAGTGTTTGTCGACAATGGAGCAGCTATAAAC